AGCCTCTTGTTGTTCCTTCATGAAATAAAAATGGGCTGGTGCCTGTTTTCAATTTTTGACATTAACTCATAGTTTTTCTGTACTTTCTTTGAAGGGAATCATTGGGGAAGATTGATACGAGTCTCCCTTTTTTCTCATTACATGCTACACTCAAAAGATCATGCCTGAAAGCTTCATTCAGCCAGAGTGCGAAAGCTGAAGCTGGAAAACACAAACTTAAAGTGGTTTCATACCATCCCAACACCTCTAAAATGAAAGCAGAGCACAAAAGAGCTGAAATGACTCCTTGGGCATTGCAGGAACATGCTGGAGGCACCTGCACCACAGAGGAGGTCCCAGGTGACTACAGCAGGTGGAGTCATCAGAGAGTACAAACACCACAGAGGTGATAGTGGAGAAATCCAAGTAACCCAACCACTTGGGAGGCATATGGAATTTTGGATACGGGTCCTCTGAGGTCACGAATTAGCCTGCAGGGTCATCCGAGGTCACTGTTGCTGAATTTTTGGGGTTCTGGGGTCATCCGAGGTCACCAATTAGCCTGTGGGGGTCATCTGAGGTCACTGTTGCTGAATTTTGAGGGTTCTGGGGTCATCTGAGGTCACCAATTAGCCTGTGGGGTCATCTGAGGTCACCGCTCCTCAATTTTTTGGGTTCCGGGGTCATCTGAGGTCACCAATTAGCCTGTGGGGTCATCCGAGGTCACGGTTGCTGAATTTTTTGGGTTCTGGGGTCATCTGAGGTCACCAATTAGCCTGTGGGGTCATCCGAGGTCACGGTTGCTGAATTTTTTGGGTTCTGGGGTCATCTGAGGTCACCAATTAGCCTGTGGGGTCATCTGAGGTCACCGCTCCTCAATTTTTTGGGTTCCGGGGTCATCTGAGGTCACCAATTAGCCTGTGGGGTCATCCGAGGTCACGGTTGCTGAATTTTTTGGGTTCTGGGGTCATCTGAGGTCACCAATTAGCCTGTGGGGTCATCTGAGGTCACCGCTCCTCAATTTTTTGGGTTCCGGGGTCATCTGAGGTCACCAATTAGCCTGTGGGGTCATCCGAGGTCACGGTTGCTGAATTTTTTGGGGTCTGGGGTCATCTGAGGTCACCAATTAGCCTGTGGGGTCATCCGAGGTCACGGTTGCTGAATTTTTTTGGGTTCTGGGGTCATCTGAGGTCACCAATTAGCCTGTGGGGTCATCTGAGGTCACCGCTCCTCAATTTTTTGGGTTCCGGGGTCATCTGAGGTCACCAATTAGCCTGTGGGGTCATGCGAGGTCACGGTTGCTGAATTTTTTGGGGTCGGGGTCATCTGAGGTCACCAATTAGCCTGTGGGGTCATCCGAGGTCACGGTTGCTGAATTTTTTGGGTTCCGGGGTCATCTGAGGTCACCAATTAGCCTGTGGGGTCATCCGAGGTCACCGCTCCTCAATTTTTTGGGTTCCGGGGTCATCTGAGGTCACCAATTAGCCTGTGGGGTCATCCGAGGTCACGGTTGCTGAATTTTTTGGGTTCCGGGGTCATCTGAGGTCACCAATTAGCCTGTGGGGTCATCCGAGGTCACGGTTTGCTGAATTTTTTGGGTTCCGGGGTCATCTGAGGTCACCAATTAGCCTGTGGGGTCATCCGAGGTCACGGTTGCTGAATTTTTTGGGTTCTGGGGTCATCTGAGGTCACCAATTAGCCTGCGGGGTCATCTGAGGTCACCGCTGCCTGCAATTTTTTTGGGTTCCGGGGTCATCTGAGGTCACCAATTAGCCTGTGGGGTCATCCGAGGTCACGGTTGCTGAATTTTTTGGGTTCCGGGGTCATCTGAGGTCACCAATTAGCCTGTGGGGTCATCCGAGGTCACGGTTGCTGAATTTTTTGGGTTCCGGGGTCATCTGAGGTCACCAATTAGCCTGTGGGGTCATCCGAGGTCACGGTTGCTGAATTTTTTGGGTTCCTGGGGTCATCTGATGGTACCAATTAGCCTGTGGGGTCATCTGAGGTCACGGTTGCTGAATTTTTTGGGTTCTGGGGTCATCTGAGGTCACCAATTAGCCTGCGGGGTCATCCGAGGTCACCGCTCCTCAATTTTTTGGGTTCCGGGGTCATCTGAGGTCACCAATTAGCCTTCGGGGTCATCTGAGGTCACTGCTCCCCAATTTTTTGGGTTCCTGGGGTCATCTGATGTCACCTATTAGCCTGTGGGGGGGTCATCCAAGGCCACTGTGCCTCAATTCTTTGGGTTGCCCCATCCTTAAAGTTAATCTCTCAGTGTTATAACATGCGTTTTGTCATTTAGACACCCCTTGCACATATTTACCCTTGTAATGGGCTGAAGTCACATGAGAATACGGGAGAAAGTGCATTATATTTATCTGTATGGCTTGTTTTTGTTTTCTGCTTTTCCTGGTTGGTATTTTGACATGGAATTCATTGTCTGTTCTTAGAACTATATTGGAATAATTTTGGTCTCTTCATCAGTCCTTGTTCAATAGTAGTGTATTAACTAGGCCTATGATAGAGATATCCACACCCGACGAACAGGTGCAACACAGCTACTTCATTCTAATATAAGCAGTAGTAAAGTTACCCGGTCTTATTTAACTTAGCATCTGTATTACAAAAGAAGGATTTGTTGTTCAGGCATAGCACCGTGACAGCAATGTGTCAGCTGCCTGGCAGAAGAGATTATGCAATTGTTGATCAGAAAGGAAAAGAGAGGGAAGATACTCTAATGTGAGGACATTATTGAGTCTGGAGCTGACGTTTTTATTGTTACAGGCTTCTTGCTGTATGTAGTAGTCACCACACTTAACAGTTAAGAGTTGGGTCTCGCCACCCTGAAATCCATGTCCTAAGGCAGTCTTGTTAGCACTGTTCTCTTCTTTGATCTTGTTAGAAGATTGTTAACAAATTATAAGATTGACTTTTGTTATGTCTAAAATATTGATAACAAAAAACAAAACAGGAAAGGAGTAAATTAGATAGTCATTGAAAAAGACAGACTAGACTATAGGAACACTTTGGTTCTTTAAGCAAAGAGAAGCAAAAGCTCTATGATAGAAAAGCAGGAGATTCCTGTCTCGGCAAGCAGAAGAACAAAATAAAGACCTTGCTTACTTCATTTATATTTGTCTTTTGCTAATACCCAGACATCCATCTTTAGAATGTTGATACTCTATTTGGAAATGGTTATTCTGGTATATATGTGCACCAGGGCCTTTCTTACTCCGTGTGTTCATGTGATGTTATCTTTGTCCTGTTGGAACAAAAAAGCTGAGTTTTCTCCTTTCTTTTATGATTTTGTCTTTGCTCACTAGATCACCATACATTTATAAGCAAATATTCAGTCTTGCATTCTGCTATCAAAAGTCAGATGTGCTGTGAAGCTTTTTTTATTTTCTTCCATAGCCTTTACTGTTGTTAAATCTAGTCTGTAGTCCTACTGTCCTAAAACCTGTCTTGAAATGGTCTTATTAGCAATGTTTTCAACTGTTATTTCCTCTCTTGTTAGAGGACTGTTAGTATTGTAAAATAATTTTGTAAAATAATTGTAAAAAGTAAAAAACAAGACTTATTTTTTGTGTCTAAATTTTTTTTGCCCTTACAGAGTCACAGAATCATCTAGGTTGGAAGAGACCTCCAAGATCACCTAGTCCAACCTCTGACCTAACACTAACAAGTCCTCCACTAAACCATATTGTGAGAAAAATCTCAATAATTTTCTTCAGATGGGCTCTTCTGGGATCCTGCTGATTAGGAGCGCATTATAGTAAAACTCACCTTTTATTTCCTATTACCCAACACCTGATCTCCTCCCCTGCTTCCCCACTGGCTGAGTACTACAGGTTCACAAGCTCCTTGACGCTCCATTGGTATACAATGTATGTACAATTTTTTGATCAACCCTTTAATTTTTCCTTTCTCCTCTATTTTTTTTTCCCCTCCTTTCTTACATTTAGAGAACTTGTGATCTTGTTTTTTTTTGTTGTTGTTGTTGTTGTTGTTTTTTTGTTTTTTTTTTAAACTGTTCTCACACTGCTCATCCTGTCTTTCTCTGTCTTCTACCTTATTTTGGAACAGTGAGGCTTCTACTGTCCACTTATCTGCTTAGCATTTCTCTTCGTTATGACTACACAACTACCTTTGAGTACAGATTATTTTTCTACTGCAACAACACACACTATTTCAAAAACAAATTCTGCTGCAAAACCACAACTTAGTTTCTCACAATTCCCCCCTCTTTTTTTCTTACTTCTATTGTTGTTTTTGAACTTCTTCACATACCCCACTATTGAGTTTTTCCAACACTTAGGTGCAATATTCTCCTTTGGATGTCATGCGGGATGACAGATAGACAATGCCATTATTATTACAATATCAACAAATAGCCAGGGTTATGTGTAGGGAGCTCAACTTCAAAATCTATTCCTTCTCGGAACTGAGTGTGATCTATCATTTTTAGAAATTTAGAGAATCCAGACACATTTGCTGCTTGGAAATAGCAATCAGGGACAAGGACTTTTCAAGTCTTTCTAGGCATCTGGGTGCAAATCCAACAATTACTTTAAGACAGAACTCGAGAGATGTTCTGGATTAATTGGAAATGGTAATTTTTCTCTCCATCCTATCACTAATGCGTTCAGAATAGGTATTACTAAGATAAACTTAAAATACATAATTTCTCTATGTATATATACAAACCCCTATAATAATTAAGAAATAATAATTAAGAAAAAGAATAAAAGTCAAACTAATAAGGATTCTTCTGGTGGGGATTAAATACCTCCCTCTTCTCTCACTTCCAAGGAGTGTTCCCTGGAAACACTCTAATTCTGTGCAATTCAATCCCTTTTACTCACTAATTCATTAAGAATTCTTCTAAGGAGAAGTTAAAGGTTTAAGGCTAAAACTGTTCAAAGCATCTATTGTAGAAGTCTGTTAATGCAGTCTCTCTGGTATTAGGGTTAACTGATGCTTTTACCCAGGTGAGTCCACCCTTTTCCAGCTGTTCTTACTGTTGTCTCAGTAGTCAGGAGCACTCGGAACAGTCCGTCCCACTCCGGTTGCAGCTTCGAGTCTCTCCGTGTTCGCATCAAAACACAATCTCCCACTTGGAATGGACAGATCAGGACTTCCAAGGGTACGGTTTGAGCTAATGATCCACGGGTCCTGAGAGATGACAAAGAGGATGACAGCTGAAGTATATAGTTCTTAAGAAAAGTATCTTTTAACTCAAATTGAGGTAATTCATTCCCTTTGTCCATGTACAGCAATCCAAATAATATTTCACATTGTGAAACTCCCACATCTTTTCTTGGTGCAGTTTGAATTTGGAGAAGTGCCAAAGGTAAGCACTTCATTTGGGGAAGCCAAATTTCCAGAACTTAGTCAACTGCTTCTTTACTGCCTGATCCAGAAGAGGAAGGGTACCAAGGAGTGTGAAATTTCCACTTAATTCCTAGAGTCCACATTAGCCCTTGCAATATTTCTGATATAAAGTGATTTCCTTGATCAGAGTCCATACTTTCAATGACTCCATACCTTGGAGTTATTTGTTCTAGAATTACTTTAGTTGCTACAGTTTGCAGTAGCAGATACTGAAGGGAAAGCTTCCACCCACCCTGACAATGATCGACCATGACTAAGTATTTAAATCTACCTACTCTAAGGAGCTTTGTAAAATCTACCCATACATTTTGGAAGCATTGCATTCCTGGTTCTTGCCCCGCTTTGGGCTGACTGCAGATAATTTTCCAATTTACCTTTTGACATACTACACAACTCCTGCATACTTGTTCAGCCAGAGTATCTATATTCCTTTGCGTACACATTTCCATAGCACTGCATCACACATTGTTTGAATTCCCAATGACCCTCTTAATATAAAACCATTAATACTTGCCTCATTAGCACTTCATTCAGGATTTTTCTCCCCTCAGGGACTATCTATTTTCCTTTGGACTTTGTAACTCCTGATTCCTCAAAAACTTCTTTCTCTCTCTCTCTATTTTTTTTTTCAGTTTTCTTCTTTTTTTTTTTTTTTTTTTTTTTTTAAGTTTTTTGTTTTGGGTAGAGTTAACTCAATTCCCTCAATCCTCTCTGGATTTATTCTTTTTTTGTCCTTCAGACACCAGATGCCCTGAATGCTTGACTTCTGTTTCTATGTATTGTAATTTATTTTTCATCCACATATTGTAACAGTAACACCTCCTCTGGAGGTTGGAATTGCTCCAAGGTTTGTTCTAGAACTTGCTCAAAGAAATTGGTGGCTCTGTAAACCCCTTAGGTAAAACTGTCCATCCATATTGCTGCTTCTGCCCCATTTCAGGGTCCTTCCACTCAAAGGCAAATATATCTTTGCTCTCATGGCTCTGAGAGCACCCCATTAATAATACCGTTATTCCAGCCTAACAATTTAGTATTTGAATGCCTAATTTCATTATCAAATCCTTTCCCAACTAGTTAGTCCCTGCCTCAGGTACATACAATAATTGCCCAGTGATCATTCTATCCCTAGTCTCAGCCTGGTGTCCCCAAAAAGCGGTGCTGTTATCCCAGTCCCTTCTACCCCCATCACATTTAGGGTTTCATTAATTAATATAAGCCCTGATACTTTACAGGCCAGTAATGACCTAACTGCCTCAGTGTATTGGGTTCACATGGCAAGGTTCTGGTAGCAGGGTGGGGCTGCACTGGCAGCATCTGTGAGAAGAATCCAGCAGCTGCCCCGTGTTAGGTAAGGGCCAGTTTCAGCTGGCTCCAAAGGGGCCCACTGCTGCCCAGAGCCAAGCCATGAGCAATGCAGTTTGTGCCTCTGTGAGGGCACATCCAAGAAACAGAAAAAAAAACAACTGTTGCGGAGCCCGTTTAGGAGCAGGTGATCTGGGGAGGGGGGATAGACCCCAGGGTGTCCCAAAGCCAGCGCAACCCACTCCTAACAAACAGACCCCACGACACAGACCTGCACCTGGAGCACCAAAGAACTTGTTGGTTTTTTTTTTTTTTTGCTGCCTGTGGAGAAACCCACACAGGAGCAGCCCAGGAAGGTCGGCACCCCACGAGAGGGACCAGAGCACCAGAGCAGGGGGGAGAGTGTCCGTGAAGGAGCAGGGGGAAGGAAGCACCACAGACTGACTGCAGCCCCTGCTCCTGGTCCCCCCGCACCACTCAGGGCAGGGAAAAGGTGGAAAAGAGTGAAGAGCGTGGAGGTGCCCCAGCTTGTTTCTCACTGCTCCAGCCTGTCAGCAACAGGTAATAAATTTTATTAATCTTCCTATGCTAAGTCTGTTCTTCCCACAGCAATAATTGCAGAGTAATCCCCAGTGAGGTACACTTGAGGAACCCTTGAGGCACACTTTCTCCTTTACCAGGGAACCAGCTTTCTGATAAGCCCTGACTCCCCTGTTCCGAATTTATAACAGCAATCTCTCCTCCTCCTTCTTCCACTCCGGATACTCCTGTTTGAAGTGGCTGGCCTGGCCACACTTAGAACATCTTCTCAAAGCCCATCCCTGCTAGGATTTAGGCTGCAACACAGGTAGCTTTCTTTGCCTGCCATTCCTTCAACTCTCTTCCTCTCCTTTCCATCCTGGGCCCAGCTCCTCCTGAAAGCCCCTCTATCTCCCTCTCTGCCTCACTAACCAGTATGCTGGGAATACCATTGGTTTTGCTCTCTACTTTTCCTTTTCATCTCCGTTCCTGGCGTCCACCTCCATACTACCCGCACTGTTCACTCCGTCCTACCACCTTCTGGGGCTTTTTCAGTGTATCTGGCCAGGCTTTAATCACAAAAAATGAACTTTGAAGAGCCCTTGGGCTACCAGATCCTCAGGATTCATCCCTAAGTACTTTCTAATTCTGATCCCGAGTCTCTCATATGATTTCTATGTTGTGGGTTGTTATTATCTCAGTTAGATAAGCAGATATATACATGTATGCTCTATCACAATTACTCGGTCCGGGGAGCGTTAGCTCTTCCCCATTCTTGCATAGCTGCCTGCTGAATCATTCCCCTCCTAAATATTATTCTCCAGTGAATAACATACTCAAAACTGCCTTTTTCCCCCCTCCCCAGTATTTCAGTATTTTTGGCCCAAATACTGAAGTTCCTTTTATTGGCTTTTTAGGCCATACAATTATACAATATCTAACCATTTTTAAATCATTTTTTAAAAATCTTTTTCCCTAGTTTTGTGTTGTTTTTCCAAATCCTTATCATTCTCCCCAGAGAAATATCTTTAGGCACAATCCTGGGCTCTCCACCCCACCCTGCTGACTCTTGGAACCCTTAATCCCCATTCTCCAGACCCCTCACCAGCTTTGTCGCCCTTCTCTGGGCTTGCTTGAGCACCTCGATGTCCTTCTTCTAGCTAGGGGCCCAAAACTGAACACAGTACTCGAGGTGTGGCCACACCAGAGCTGAGTGGGGACGATCACCTCCCTAGCCCTGCTGGCCACACTGCTTCTGATACAAGCCAGGATGCTGTTGGCCTTCTTGGCCACCTGAGCACACTGCTAGCTCATATTCAGCCGACTGTCCACCATCACTCCCAGGTCCTTCTCCACCAGGCAGCTTTCCAGCCACTCCTCTCCCAGCCTGTAGCTCTGCTTGGGGTTATTGTGCCCCAGGTGCAGGACCCGGCACTTGGCCTTGTTGAACTTCATGCAGTTGGCCTCAGCCTATCCAGATCCTCCTGCAGAGCCTTCCTGCCCTCGAGCAGATCGACACATGCACCTTATTTAGTGTCATCTGCGAACTTACTGAGGGTGCACTCGATCCCCTCATCTGGATCATCGATAAATATATTAAAGAGGACCAGCCCCAGTACTGAGCCCTGGGGGTCACCACTAGTGACCAGCCTCCAACTGGATTTGACTCCATTCACCACGACTCTTTGGGCCCGGCCATCCAGCCAGTTTCTAACCCAACAAAGTGTGCACCAGTCCAAGCCATGAGCAGCCAGTTCCTTGAGGAAAATGCTGTGGGAAATGTGTCAAAAGCCTTACTGAAATCAAGGCAGACCACATACACAGCCTTTCGTCACAACTCTCTGCTCTGCCTGGCCGGTATCTTCTGCGCCAGCTCGTCTTTGGGTACGTGGGGACAGACCGCTCCTGCGCCATTAAGATTTCCCTACTGAGGAGCGCCCAGCCCCCCTGGACTCCTCTGCCCTTCAGAACCACCTCCCAAGGGACTCTGCCAACCAGTGTCCCAAACAGTTCAGAGTCTGCCCTCCGGAAGCCGAAGACAGCAGTTTTACTGGTCCCCCTCCTGACTTTGCCAAGAAGGGAGAACTCTACCATTTCATGGTCGCTCTGCCCAAGCCAGCTCCCAGCCACCACATCTCCCACCAGTCCTTCTGTTTGTGAACAGAAGGTCTAACGGGGCACCCCCCGGCAAGTTCACTTACCAGCTGTGTCAGGAAGCTGTCTTCCGCACTCTCCAGAAACCTCCTAGCCTGCTTCCTCTAAGCTGTACTGTATTTCCAGGATACACCTGGGAAGTTGAAGTCCTCCACAAGCACAAGCACTGGCGATTTCACCACTTCTGCCAGCTGTCTGTAGAACTGGCTGCAACATGGCAGCGACACCGGATTTGAGTGGCCTGAGCTGCTGCCGGCTCCGCAGCAAGGCCCTGCCTGCCTCCATCCCCGCTCCACTGCTCGGTGCCCCTGCCTTAGTCACAGCCTTCTCTTTGTTTGGTCCTCTCTGTCAGGAAGAATAACTTTATTCTGGGAAAAGTATCCATATAAATCCTACTTTGTTATCTCTTCCTGGGCAGTCTGTTCGGCTAAACTCCTTTACCGTGATAGTCAAGAGGAAGATACTGGTTCTAGTCTACTTCAAGCTTCGCTAGAAATCTCTTGCATATGAAAAGGAACAAAATATTGCCATTTTATGGAATTTTAAGTGTGTGAGTATTTATGATAGGCTACTTTTTCCCCAAAAAAATCTAGATTTGTATTAATTAAATTGATTCCATAAAGACTATTTCAGCTTAATTAAATGATTTTGATCGTTCTGAACAATTAAGAGGGTTTTAACTTCATTCTAACCTGTGCTCAGAAACTAAATCCTAAAATTAATACATTTTGTTCTATTAAGTAAAATATATTAGTCCATTAATTCATTCATTCATTTATAAGGCAAAGTAGTAAATATTACTATCATTAGTAAAATACTCAAAAGTCTAAAATATTGGTGATATGTGTCACTTGTAACATTTTTTTTTTTTCCCTTTGTCAATTTCAAGCTTACTAGTACTCTATTTTTGGGTACTTCAATTTGCATTCATTATAGTAGTCAGCCTCTGTTGCAGATACATTGTATGCAGGCATGTTATTTTGGGGACGTTTTGTCCTTAAATCAAATCTGCTGCCTGTTCCCTGTATGACCCCTTTTTGAGATCTTTTTTCAGCAACAAGTCATTCTGCAGTCTGTAGTACTTGTGCTGATATTTAGCAAAGAAATGTGAGCAATATCTCCTCTGAATGCATCAAAGCACCTTCCTCCAAAGTACATACTGATAAAAAAAAATCTAACTAGGTTCTCTAACTGAATCTAACTAGTTTCTTTGAGATCTAAATGGGGTCAATTTATTTACATCTTAAATAAATTTTAGTTGTAAAATAGTCACTTTATTCATGTCTGGCTATTTTTTTTTTGGGGGGGGGGTCGGGGGTCTCATTCTATGTAATTCAAAAATTATAATAATTTTCAACTGTATTTCATGAAATCACACTGTGAGAACAATACTGCATGCCTTCAAAACATTTATGCATATAAACAGCTTTACTTCTTCTAGTGGAATTATTCAAGTTTTTAAACATTTATATGTGTTTAAGCACTTTGGTAGAATAGATCATGAATCATAACGGAATTGTAGAATCTTTTTGAATGTTCTCTTTTGTTTGGTTCTCTTTTGTTTCAGTCTTGTTTTCTTCTCTCCTAAGTTAATGCGGGATCAGGCAACAATTTCTGATGAGATAGTTACGGAAGTAGATGTACATCCTTTATCATGACCACAGTTGCTAAAAACAGATTATAGTGATTATTCAGGATTATACACTAAAGTGGTAATGTGAATAGACATCCACATCATGCCTGACATTTGCGAAGTGGTGGATATCATTAAGAAGTACATCAAGATCACAAAACCCTCCATTTACTATGCATACATTTTAATATCCTGTACTATATGGGGAACTAACAATGTCGTCTGTAGTTAAGTTTTACTGACACTTCCAGTTGCCAGGCCCTTTTTGTTTGCTTTATTTTAGTTTGGTCCTAAAGCTGATATTTTTAACTTGAGATGAATTGCCTGAAGCTGACATTTTTGGGAAGTCTAAGATGAAACATTTCAGCTATACCTGAGAGCAACAATGGCATACAAGTGACTATCTTTTCTTAAAATAAAATAAAGCTGTGCTGGCCGTTTTATTGGCATCGGCTCCATACTTCAGAACAAAGATTAAAAATAAATGAAAAGCCCCTGAAACCCATTTAGTGTCCTTACACATTTTTTTGAGAACTGTTTTCATGAATGAGTCTGCACTGCACTAAAGTGGTAAATGAGTAAAATTCAGAAGCTGATGGGGAATTTCATCTGCAACTGCAGTCACGGATCCTTACTTCATTGTGGTTAGTAATAGTTCATTTATGCTATTTGAGGTTAGAAAGAAATTCATTTTTTTCATACAGCTGGTGCCATGACATGCTAGCTAGCTATGAGCAAGTGACTTTACTTCTGCAACAAAGATCTGTAAATCAGAGAATAATGTGCATTACTTGTGGAATTTCATGGAAGAATTGTCTTGGTGAGGCAGTAAATATGAATTAGCGTTTTCTGCCTTTGTGTCATATTAAGCTATATAGAAAATGTGTTTTTGTGTGCTTAATGATTTAGCACTGTTCTTTTCCATAAAAGTTCTCTTCCTCTGCTTACTTTCTATGAGTACTTTTCATATTTTTAATGCTATTCATGAAATATAATTATCATACATAAAAGTTTGTCTTCAGCTGAGACATATATTTCTTTGACATAGGAAGAGTTTAGTTGCTTTATTTTTTTATAGTTTTTTTTTTTTTCCTTTTTCGTTTTTTTTTCTTGTAAGTGAAGTATAACATTGAGGTCCACCAAAGAGAAATAAAACTGTTGCCTCATAATTACAGGAAGCACTGTTTAGCTGTTTTTATACCTTGAAAAAAAAAAAAGACAACTACAAAAAACAAACAAACAAACAAAAAAAAAAACCACAAGATAATCTGGTGTAGGCAACTTAGTAGGTGATTAAGATACAGGAAGTAAATTGGCTGTAGAAATATATATATATATATAAATTTTGAATAACCATGAACGAATAAATCATGATATAGTTCTTGATATAAATTAGGTACAATGAGGTTTTTCCTCAGGAATAGAGGACTCCATTTGGTTTTCTATAACTTAATTTTTCAACGTTCATTTTTATGACAGTATCTGCTTATTTTTGTAATGGAAATAGACAAAACCGTTCAAAATTTGCCATTTAGTTTCTGTTTGATCTTGTTATTTCAGGGAGAAAGAAGCTGCAATAATTGCAACATTCTGATGGCAAATACAAAACACACTATGTCAAAGAAGGTATCACAGAAACTAAGAGGAGGACAAAAGAGGATAAAGGTCTGTTTGCTTGATCTTGACCTTGAATAGTCTTCTGTATAAGGATGTGGGAGTTTGTGGGGTTCTGTTGTTGTTTTTGTTTTGTTTTATTTTTAAGACTGGAAAGTGAGAACATTTGCGTGCTGACCTGAACAAATGTGTAGAAAAAGCCTTGTGCTGAGAGGTACTATGGATAAGTTTGGTTTGTGAAATGTCAGTGTGGGTGGATGTGAGATGATTGAAAGGAGGTATGTCATGAATTCTTTATAAAGATAAACTTGCCCCAAACTCTGTAACATTTGTGAGAGTTGTTCATAGATGGTATGAATAACTATCTTTGGAATTGGTATCTGTGATATGTCCTATTATTGTAGCTCTGCAAACTCAGAGAGAAATCAGTGCTCCTTTTCTCCTTGAAAGCCTTTTCTTCCCTAAGTATTGGCATGCTGCTGAGCTTCAGAGTTATGTCTGGGTGTACCTAAAAGGAAATATTATCACGGAATCACAGAATCATCTAGGTTGGAAGAGACCTCCAAGATCACCTAGTCCAGCCTCTGACCTAACACTAACAAGTCCTCCACTAAACCATATCACTAAGCCCTACATCTAAACATCTTTAAAAGACCTCCAGGGATGGTGACTCAACCGCTTCCCTGGGCAGCCCATTCCAATGCCCAACAACCCTCTCAGTAAAGAAGTTCTTCCTAATATCCAACCTAAACCTCCCCTGGTGTAACTTTAGCCCATTCCCCCTTGTCCTGTCACCAGGCACATGGGAGAATAGACCAACCCCCACCTCGCTACAGCCTCCTTTAAGGTACCTGTAGAGTGCGATAAGGTCACCCCTGAGAATCCTCTTCAGGCTGAAGAACCCCAGCTCCCTCAGCTGCTCCTCGTAAGACTTGCTGAAATTGCAATTACTGAAATTACAAACTGAAATTCAAATTCAAAGGTGGTTTCAACATAAATTGAGACATAATGCAATATCACAAGTAGTAAAATGAAGGAATCTGTATTTCTAAGACTATATAAGAAAACAAAAGATCATGTACAAGGAAAAAACTTCACATTAAATAAGTGTGACAAGTACGTGGTCTGTCCTTCCTAAAACATTGAAAGTGCTGCCCAGAGTAAGTGGTAGAGGTGAGTTACCTTCCTTGTGGTACACACCCTCTAATCAGTGTATGCATCTCTGAGAGTTTCTGCATAGCCCTAACAGCAAACATACTATGGATATTTATTAACATTCTGGGAGATGAATACAGAGAAATTTTGCCTCTGAAATGATGACCTTTTAGTGGCTGTTCATTGTCTATGACTGGGTAGGATAGGGCAGCTGCTTGTTTTCAAAAGTACAACGATCTCCTATTCCTCGGTTACTGCTAGGCTGACAAAACAACAAGCCCTAGAGTACAGTTGTCTAGACTACATAGGTTCATTAGGAGCTACATTTGAGTAAAAAACAGGATTTTAAATTTCATAGTGGGATAGCCCCTATGATTAATGTGGGATGTGAATTCAGACACCTCTGATAATTTCTGGGTATAGTAGAATATCTCTAAAGCCTTGAAAATTCAGGGATTACTTGATCTAGCCAGGTGTTGGATGAGGATAGAATTATCTCATTTAAGAGTACACCTATATTGCTGTCAAGCAGACTGCCTTGTTATCTGCATTGCTTGGGAGTATCCCTGTCAAAATTTGACAAGCTATATCCCTGTTATTTGGTGACTGGTCCATGTGATGCCTCTGCGTATTTTGTCAGCTCAAAGCCTCTGAAGCAGTAAGAAAGCTGTGTTGCAGTCCACCAATTGTCGGGCTTGTAGCATGAAAACGAGCATGACGGAGAGACATGCTGCAGAGATGAGGGATGGGAGGCTTCTAGGAGGACTCCTGGAGGACTGTGCAGTGCTGCCAAAGTGTTAGGAAACATGTCTCTATAAAGCAAAGAGAAAGCCAAACCTAGCACAGCCTCATCCAAGCTGCTCTTCAGGAGCTGACCATGAGATGAGCTGTTCCTCCTAGTTTAGCCTTAGATTCTGAACTTAGAATTAGTTCAGAATCTAAGATTAGAATTAGATTAGTTCAGCTAGTTCAGACAAGCCAGAAAAAAAATATCAGGGAACAAGCTGAAAATTAAGAAGAACAAATGCTTGCATTTACTCCCTGTCCCTATTTTGTATAGCAGGATAGGTGCATCCTACAGAAAAACAGATACTTTGGGGAGTGTTTTTTTTCCCCACTAATATGCATTCACATTTATTTCAGCTGACTTCCCTTGGAAACAAGCTATTGAGACTGTGAGGTATTGGCAAGACAGACTACTTTTTTTTTTTTTTTTTGGTCCTAAAATAATCTGAAGAGTCTCGCAGTTAAAATTCTGAACACTGAAGTTATGTAGAATGTATATTCAAATAAGGTTCAGAAAAAAATGAGTTTTGCAGCAATACAATATTTTCTAGGCCAGGTTTTAAATGGTATCTGGGAGCAATATCTGTGATAGTGAGTTAATTTTCAGTTATCATGATGTATTGCATATTTCTGTCAGCTTGGCATCACTATGGAAATATGACTTTCAGAAGGAACCAAAAATACTTGCTCTTTTAGTGAGTAACAATTTGGAACATAACTATATATAGGACAAACAGCTTTAAAAAAAAATCTCATATACGTCCCTTAGGAGATAGAATATGCCAAGAAGGATATCAGAGTTAATTTTCAATTCACTAGCTTTGGGATCAGTTAAGGACCTGAGTTTAAACCCATGTTTTTAATAGTTACCAGAATGTGTTATTTTCAAAATTAAATACACTAATGTAAGGTATAACTTCATATATTAAGATGGTAAGCTGAAGCATGACAGAGATCCTCATCAAAGACTTCAGGACAGATTTTTTTTTGGGGGGGGGGGGGGGGGGGGGGAGGGAGGGGGAGTGGGCGGTGGCTCAGGGTTCAGCTTTGTAGCATTGGTTGGCTAAGCCCTTCATGTTTCTATAGAAACCTTTTGTATGAGACTTTAAATAGAGGCTCTGCATGTACCCAGAAAGTAGAATTCTCTGGTGTCTTTGGTTACAAGGTTCTTCTTTTGCCACAAAGTAAAGTCTGATAACACAGAAAAGGCCAGAGATAACTCTGGAAGGAAAAATGCTATATGGAAAACATATGGAAATACTATATGGAAAACAAATATATGTTATTTATATCTTTCTTTCACTTTACAATTTATCTTAAGCTCTATGTAAATAAGCTGTCCAAAGAAAACACTGCTCCCAAAAGTTTGTATGCTGCTTCTATTAACATTAGCTACTTTGTCATTTCCTTAGGAAGAAAAAATGTATTTCTTGTAGTTCTGAATTTTCATGTGTAAACATTTTCTATAAAAAATCATGATTATTGGTAGAATTATAATCAGAGATCATGAAGCAAATTCTGCCATTACCTGGGAAGGTAAAACTGCAGTGAAGGCAGATACTTGTGGCTGCTATATGCCATCTATCGCTTTCCAAAACAATTCTGCATCTGTTCTAAGATGTACTCTGTAGCTTGGTCAGAAGGAAGTAGCTGGGCTAAGCTATACTGCACAAACAACCCCGCCCCACCCCAAACAAGCTCAGTTTATAAAAAATATGGAGCCAAGTTTCTTTGATCCCAGACAGTTTTCTCTTTGTAAGTCCCAAGTAAGCACAGCCAACTCCAGCTCAACTAAATATTTTAGCTCAAAAACAGTTAATCGTCTTTCAAAATTCCTTCCATTTGTGAGATTTCCTCTTGGAATGTTTTTGCCTCAATGGTGCATTTCTCAACAGCCTTTTTTTTTTTTTCTCTTGATATGCTAACTTTGCTAAAAAAACCAATAATCTAATTGAAGCATTTTTTTTATTGTTTTGTTTTTTTTCCACACTGACACTTTGAAGTTTCACTTAAATGAAATCTTTTATGTTCTGATTGCTACTTTACATTTTTCAGGAGAAGAAAAGAATGAAAAAGAAGTCCAAGCTTCTACTGAGAAACAGTCAGGACCACAACAGGTATAGTTAAAAGTGATCTTCTGTAATTCAATAGCTAACTTGTAGTAGGTTTTAGCTACAAAATTGCTGTCTTCTAGAACTTTTTTAGAAGTTATTTAGCAGTCAATAAACTGTTTATTTTCCTGTTACTTGCTACAGTACAGTGAAATTACATTTGTTTGTTTGTTTTCCTGGGGTAAATCCTGTGTCTGTTTGAGTGATGGGTGAAAAACACTGTTTTGTTTACTGGTCAGGGATGTTAAAGGAGTATTATGCTATTAGGTGTCCTCTAAATTAGGCCTACAATCCTCATTTAGTTGGCTTTTGTTCTTTAGAGAGTGATGTTCTTGGAGCTGGGAACCATATCATACTAGTACAAGGTAAGATTGATGAAGGAAAAATTCTTTTTCAACATTTGTCAGTAAAATTGGCCAAAACTGCCATGTTGCTAATCAAGTTCATAAGTTATTACTTACAAATCTATACGCAGTAGTGAACAGCCAAATCTTATGTTAGTTACATGAAGAACTTGACTGTGATTCCTACTGAGTATACTAAAAGCAGGGAAAAAATCATTAAAATCTGCTTAAGGAAAAGCAACTGTTGAGCAGCTTGGTATGTTTGCCAGCTGAGCACACAGGAGCAAATATAAAACTACTTGTAAAATCTGTCCAGTTAATTTTAAGTATAATTACAGACCTCATGATGCTTTACAGATTTGTAAATCTCATGGACCATACAATTAAAGGGCCTACTACTGAAACCATTCCATGGTATTGTAATTTATTGTTTCATAGACTAGATCTGTTTACAATAAAGGCACTAAATAATTGAGAGATTACCATGTCTATTAGAGATTATCATGTTTAATAAGATTAAAAAACAAAACAAAAAAGCTTTTTTTTTCTTTCATGATTGGTTTTTTGATTTTCGATGTTTTTGTTGTTTTAGAAAAATTGTGGGAGTTAATTTTTTTTATAGCTGTGTATTGAAACAGCTAATAAAAAACTTCAGAAATACAAACATTTTCAAATACTAATTACTTGGTCAGTCTTGTGCATGCCTTTGAATGCTTCTCAGCTCAAAGATTCATGTAAGTACAAATCTTTCAAACCTTGCCTGTTTAGCTCATCCTCATTTGAAGACCAAATTTTGTCATCATAAAATACAGAGAAATTTAGTAGATGAAAGGACCATGACAATGTCAAAGCAAGGTGCAAGTCAATTTGGGTTAAGGTTCAACAGCATGTTGTGAGACAGGATAGAGGAATATGTAACCCTGTGTTGAATTATAATGGTTAATTAGTGTACCACCTTAGATTCAAAATGATTTTCAGCCACATAATTTGGATGGATCTGTTTCTATGTGAATGTACTTCCTTGTTTAGATATTTTTGAGTATTTTTTTGCCTTACTATGCCATATGACACATTTCTCATACATTATTTGGTAAGATTTTCTCTTTTTTGTGTGTGTGTAAATTGTGTACTGCTCAGATAAAAGCATGTCTGTTTGCTGAGATATCCTGAAATAGAACAATCCCAGAATGATGCATTAACTCTCTCTTGCATGTGTTTTTCTTGGGACCTGAGTACCTAGAGAAGGAAAGTATGGCTCATGTTTTTTTGAAAAAAGAGTTTATCACGTTTCACAAGAAAGTCCTGGGTGAACAGTCCTGATAGCTTCTTAGCTGGCATAATAGTCTAATAATCACTTTCCAGAGAACTAAGTTTCCTTTGGTTAACTAATTCCTGTCTGGCATGTTTGAGATGAATCCATTGAAGTAAATTTCATGTTCTGAAAAAGAAAAACTAATCATTGATTTTTACTCTCTATTTAAGCTCCTCCAGACTTAGTATGATTTGTGGTTTTATTGTTTGTTTGTTTTTGGTTTTGCTTGATAGGTTCTTATTCAACCCTAGCAGAAGTTTGTCTGTGTAAATCTTCAGAATTTGATTGAAAGTAAAAACACAGACAGTAAAAATCTCACTAAATTATTCTTTCATATTTGACCTTCAGGGTACATTACTGCAGTGCCTGGAAAATGTAGAAAGCTTTGAAACAACGTTTGTCTTCTCTAAAAAGGTATGTTTCTCTATGAGAGAAAAGTCCAACCGAATTCTAAGAATTTGTCTGTCATTCACAGTGCCTTATTAGTAAATGCTAGTTCCTAGTGAACTATAATTGAGTTATGAAGCAGTTCTTTGCACAATCAGAGTACAGTATGTGAGATTCAGACAATTACAAGCTTTCTAGACAAGTCAAATCAAATACAGCCTGTCAGCAAGGGCTCTGCAAATATGAAATCTTAGGTCTTGAAGGAAAATTCTTTAGTGTTCTCTCCACATAGAGTCACATTCCAGGATGTTTCCTGCATCTTTTATGACACAGATCAACTTTCTGCATTCACTAGAGACAGTAGATTGGATATGACTTGAATCATCATATGTTCTTACTAAAAATGGCGTTTGACAGTTCATCTAAGGATGATATGAACAAAAGCTTTTAACTGAGTTGGCTTTGCTGTGTTAATGTTTTTCCTTTTGCTGTACATTTTTTTCTATCAACATTGTAGTTTCCTTGTCATATTTTATTTATTACTGTTCATTTGCTATGTACAGACTTGGTATTTATTGAGGTGATTCAGAGTAATATTTTATTTATTAGTAGTTGCCCCTTGGTATGTAATACTGAACATACCTACATGGAAAGAATAATCTTGTCACTGTGACCTCAATGGCTCTGTCCACTAGGATGAGAAGTTGCATGAAAGCAGTTTTTCAGTAGATAGTTGCTGTTAACTGTATACTGTTTGAACTTTAACAATAAGAGGAAGTTTCTTTCAAAGCATTATTTAAATTCTTATAAACTTCTATATTAGCAGTACTTTTGAGCAACTCTTTTTAAAAACAGATGCAAAGAATTGCCAAGCACTGAAGCTGTGCAATATATTCGTCTTTAGAGGGACTTATATAATTCCAAGCCATGCCGAAAAGCTAAAAACTCAAATAAAATACCTACAGTGTATTAGAAGGATAGTTTTGCAAACGTGCAGCAGTTGCACATGCATGGCCAGTGGCAAATTTTATGATGGAAATGATATGAAAATAACAGCAGTTTAGGAGAAAAATATTATAAAAATAAATACAAGTCACAATAACTACAATTAATTAGATCTCATACAACCTGTATTATTTAAAAATTGTGTAACCAGCTGTGCTATAACGAGCTGTGCTTTTAATCAGATTAATGAGTATACAGTTCAGCACTGTTCATGACTCAAAATAGTCTTTCCCTACAGCACAACTTCCTAACAGCCCTTCATGTAACATTCATTAAGCACAAACTAGTAATAGTATATAAGGCATAAGGGCATACAGGACAAGTGATTTAAAAAACTCTAAACATAGACAACTTTGGAAATCCCAGGCTTATATATCAAAACCTTAAAAAAAAAAAAAAAAAAAAAGTTGCTTAGAACATAAATCAGCTCTGTATATTCACCCATTCAATGAAGGTTGCTAATATTTTCAAGAATATTATAGGGATTTCTACGAAACAGTAATCCTATCACATTTGATCACACTGTTTTGAAACATGAACAATTTGGAAAGATTATCATACAACTTTTTTGTTGTTGTGATTTTAGGTATATTCAGCATTGACAAAATGAGCAAAACTATCACAAATCTGAGGCAGCATCTGCCCCAAGAAGACGTACATTTATGAATCCTGACCTGACATGAATGTTAATAATGATATCATCAATAAGAAGAAAGCTTCTCCAGGAAGGGTAATTGTATATGCAGAAAGAGGTAAAGGATTTGTGTTCAATTCAGATTTATTCTTTTTGTGCCACCTTATACTCTCTCCTGCTTCTGATTAAGTGTTTAATTACTAAAACAATCATATTGACTCCTAGCACATGGATACAGTTTTACACAGAGGGCTTACTTCTCTATTGAGAGCAACATGTGGTAGATATTTATTCCAAATGTCAGGTACAACCTTTATTTTCACAATGGCACTCAAGCATGGTGCTCAGAACAGAAACAAACTGAGTTTATTTAGTAACTGATGAGTTATTCCACCCCATCAGCAATAATAAGTTAACATTATTATAATGAAATAGAATGGCCTTCCATTTTTCAGTGCTTCAAAATTTCCCTATTCTAATTAATAAACTACTTTGAAATAATCTTTTTTATTTCAGATGTATTCTACTTTATTTCAGATAATTGTTAGTTTTAATCATATAATAACTTAAAAAAAAAAAAAAAGGAAGAATAAATATCCCAACCTACTGATATTTTTAATGACTCCAGAAGAGCTGAATTTTTTTGTTTGAATTTGTTGTTTTATCAAATATTATTTTCCCCTACACAACAGCCCAGTAGGTGCTAATCCAAGTCACATAAAAATAAATAAATCTTAATTCCTAAGCACACAATTATTTTTTTAATAGACTCTATTATAATAGGACAGACTGTTCAAGTTGAAAAGAGGTCTCAACTATCATCAGAGCTGCTCAAAATCAAACCCTCTAGTGTTAGCACTTCAATAAACAGGCTTGCGATTGAATTTAAGTACTTAAATATTAACATAAAATTATTCTAGATCAAAACGTGCCAATGAGCTTTGACTCCAGGCCCATAGTTAAATCTTTCTGAAAGACATAATCAATTTTGTGTATTTGTTTTGTGCAACCTTTGTTTCACTTGTTAGCCTAAGTATTCATTTCTTTTCAAAGTTAGCAAGACAACACATAGCAATGTCTTTGAAAATACCACTGTGCTTACAAACGAGATTTCACATCATTTCTGACACTTGATATACTGACTCCAAAAGGCAATATTCATGGGAATGGTAAGCAGCATTTACAACTTTGTAACATTAGTCTCAAAAGTATGCCTGACTCATGTTCACTTGAAAGAGGTTTCAGCTCTAGGGAAAATTACAAAATGTATTGCTGTCTAGGACTCTCCTAACAATGCCAATATACAAAGACATTTGTGTTTTTTATAGAACATTACAGAAATATAACATTTTCTATACAGGAAGATTAAAAATTGTATGTGAGATTTTATGGAGACCTGCAACAAGCCACTAAGTCTTAAGAAATATTCAGTTATGATAAACTCTTTTAATTAAACTCCTTTATATAAACTTCATGGTACATTTTATAAGAAAAGAATAGCAGATTTTTAAGGTGGTCTAAAATGCATGCTCCCTTCATCATCTTCTGCGTGCATGAAATTTTATGCTATGATTTTTTTTTTTTAATATATCTAATTGGTATTGAAATTATACTTGTGATTTTTTTTTTGTTTTAACTAGCATATATTCAAATAGAATAATTAAACATACCAAAATAACACTTGTTTAATTTTGAAGTAAATATTCTTAAAGTGGGAATGCCATATTCTTTACAGTGACATAAACTCCAGAATGTAATTCTGTTGGTTATTTTTTGTAAGTTTACTTTTTGTTGTCTAAGTACTCTCATTTTATGTATGTTGTGAGCTTCAGATGAGGTGTGGGAGTCTGATTCCTTAATGGCATTTCCAGCTCCCCTATCATGTAAAGGTGTCTTATTTTGGCTTAAAAAAAAATAAAATAATTAAAAAAAATAAAACGAACAAACAAACAAACACATAAACGTATTCTTCATTTCAGCAAAATTTATCTGCATTTTTCATCCTGAACCCAAGTCAAGTAAGTGTATTCATGAGGTACAGAAAATTAGATTTTGTATTTTGTATGGATATGTTATTAAATATTTTCTCTCTTCCTGGTAAACTAAGAGATATCTTAAGGTGAAAATACTTACCTTAATACTTAAGTATTTGTATCAACAACTGTAGATAGCACTACTCATGCTTTAGGGACCTGAAGAAATAAATATGACAGACCATAATGCTCTGCCTGTAGAAATAGCACTGTCCCATTGAAGTTGGCAGTGCTGTATTCTGACTTGTGCTTTGGTGAATATTTGACTGAATGTCCTCAGCAGGTAATTTTTATGAACTACTAAAGGAGGTCAGCATCGTGAAGTTAGCTTAAGTCTTACGGAACAGCTTCGGTAATGTAAGTACAGATAAACATTATCAACTATTGTATCACAGAATCATCTAGGTTGGAAGAGACCTCCAAGATCACTTCCAATTCCAACTCAAGTCCAACTTCTGACCTAACACTAACAAGTCCTGCACTAAACCATATCATTTATTGATGTAATTCCACTGAAGTCAATAGAGTTACCTACCTTAGAAAAGAGAGTAAGTAATAATACATGTAACTGTTTTTCCATCTCCTCATTGTGTATATTTCTATCATCATCACTAAACAGAGACTTGTTTGACAGAAATGACAGAAAAAAATACGTACTGTACTTTCAAGGGTCAAGTATCTGTTGATGTAACCAGAACAATTAGAGTTTCATTCACTGGAAGACTATAGGATTTCTCCCATATTTTGTCAGTAAATAGATCCTTCTTTGTTTTGGTTCTGGGTATCTTTACTCACGCCTAGAGTGATTTCTGCTATGTTAGCAGCGATTACCTCTTTTTATCCCATAGGCATTATAATGTCACCTTCAGGAAAGTAACAATTACTTTCTTATCCCGAATTCTAATTGTAATATGTAATGACTGTAGGCATATAATGATGCCCGAACAGGGAACAATATACAATTCAGAGGAAACAATGTTTTGAAATGAGAAATTACTCTCCTGCTGTGAAGAAATAAATCAGTTATTCTATATTTAATATAGGAATTTCTGAGAATTTGATCTTTGTTTTTCTATGGCAAAGAAGAAAAGGGCTCTGAAATTTCATTCTATTTTTATTTTTTAATGTTTCTGAATGAGAAAAATGTGAACATAAACCACTGTCTCTCACACCACTGTCCTGGTATGTTGTGGTTGTGGTATTAGGACTTTTTTTTTTTTTTCTGAAAATAATATAAAATACGTTATGTTCCTCTATATTTTATTATGAACCATCTTTTCTGAATGGAACTTTGTCCTAATTCAAGTGCCACTAAAATAAAGGTTAGCTTCTCTGACTGTATTCTTCAGTGGAAAAGCTTTTATAAATTACCTTATTGTTTCACAGGCCTTGGAGAGTGCTGTTGTGGATGGCAACGAGTGTGACTCATCTGGCTGTAGAGCTGGAAATGTAATATTAAAGAAAATAAATAACAAGACTGAAAAGAGCATTAAATGAGGAAATGAGGCACGAATGCGTGAAACAGAGGTTAGTCTGCTGCATCTAAGTAGATACCACCTAATTACTTGGGAAGCAGGACTTAGTAAGGGAAGTGCAAGATCATGAGTTAACTATAACACTCTAGGATATGCCAGGATTCTCAAATCTAGCAATGTCACTTCCAGCAGCAGATAGCTCTCTGCCATTCTGCAGTATATAGGGGAATAGTTTGAAAATCCCGATCATTGAAGGAAATATATTGATTGTTGATAAAGAAGAATTTCAAAATATGTCTTTTAAAATTGAGGGCTTACGTATCTAAGAAAGCTAAGGAAATAGAATGAAATAATTGCTCAATAATTTTCATGTGAAACTTTGTTAACAAATTTATGTCAACAAAATACACAGATTAATAGGGATATGCTCATTAAGAGTTTGCTCTTTGAGCAAATAGATTTATTTGTAAACCCAAATGAGATTTTTGAAGTTCTTTTTTTTTGGAACTGTGATATAGGCATTGTCATGCCTGTTGGTAAAACTGAGAAAAGAAATTGCATGATAAGCCGATTGATTGTAGATATTAATGCATTAAATGTATGTATATTATATTTAGATTCTAATTATTTTTATCAAAACATATAGAGAGAGCTTATTATTGCACAAGTTAGACTTTGGATTTTATTTTATAAAGTTGTAAGCTATTCCATAGATGAATAACAGAAGTTTGTTTGTCTTTAGCCATGCTCTCTTCTTTTCTAAGTTCAGGACCACATGAGTCATTCCTCACTGAATATATACATAAGTCTAATATAATAAGTCTAATTCTTATTCAGAGACTTGCCAAAGCCATCAGTGCTGCTGATAATATGGTAGAGGAAGCAGGGGTTAGCACAGCTAGACTATACACAAATCTCTAAATTGATCTGCTTAGTTTTAGACTTGTGGAAGGCATGACTACCAGAGATGCCACTGAAACACACAATTCCCTGTAACTGGAAGGAGAGGGTTGCGTCTTTTCTTAATCCTGACTTCTTTCCCTATTTATTTTTTTACAGGATGAGCTGTTTGGTACTTTCAACACATTTTCCAAAGCCTCTTCATACCAGCTAATGGAATATTACTAACTTTGGGATCTTGACAGATAGACTGAGATCTGACAATGTTTGTTATTTGTCTTATACAAGCCAGTTTATTTCCTGAACATGAAAAATGTAAGTAAAGCAAAATAATGTTTTATCTCAATCCTTTTTTAAAGGAAATGGACCATTTGAAAACTTAAGAACTAAACAAATCAGATTCCTCAAGGTCTGGTCAAGTACTGTAAGCCGAAAACTAAATTTAGAGAAGCCAAAGGAAAAGACATCTTGTAGTATTGAGAGTGGTTTAGAAAACAATTTTAGTTATAAAGCAAAGTGACATATTTATAGTACAGGTATTCCCAGGGTGGTGGTGTGTGTGCATGTATGTGTGTGGGTGTGGGGGGGGGGGGTTAAGCACTGTCTCTTGAGCTTATATCATGTTGGGGGTTGGACAGAGTAAGATTATAGTGGTTGCCCTTCCAGACACACCCAGTGTTCAAAGTGAGGTCCATCTGTATGGGGAATATGAAGAAGTCTGTACTGCTACAACTGTAGAGAAAAATTCAGGTTTCACACTCCCTGCTGTAGTTTAAGATGGCTAGTGGCAGTTCTACATGCCTGAGTTATCTTTCAAGTCATCTTTTGTTATGTAAGGAGGGATAGTCAGGTGAAAGGATGACTCAAGAACAGTACTCACATTGCTGAGGGTTCGTATCATCTGGCATCTTTACTTTTTTCCTTGTGCCATAAGCATCTTCCACCATCTTGAATTTCCAGATGGGAATCTACTGTATAGTGAGAAGGAAAAACAGAAGTAATGCAGTGAATATTATAAGCCTGTTTATTACATGCTGTAAACATATATATATTTTAACTCCTATTGAGGTACAGTCATCAAACCACAGTTGCCCATAGGTGGTCTATTGTACATCTTCAGCAAGAGACTGACAGACATAAGCAGGTTTAAAAGTTCTAATTTGCCCAGTTATTAAAAAAAAAAAAAAAAAAAGACAGAAGCAACTAAAATATGAAGTAATAAGTGAAGAAACAACTAAAACATGAAGTAATAAGTATAAGCAAATTATGCATACAAAAACATAGATATGGATCTGACATGTCTCTATTTGGGAAAATGAAGAATTGATAACAATTTTAAATACACCTGGTTTTGAAAGACACCATGAAAGCTCACTACTTCTTACAAACTGGTTTGATCAGGCTGCCCAGAGAAGTGGTGGAGTCACCATCCCTGGAAGTCTTTAAAAGACGTTTAGATGTAGAGCTTAGGGATATGGTTTAGTGGGGACTGTTAGTGTTAGGTCAGAGGTTGGACTCGATGATCTTGAGGTCTCTTCCAACCTAGAAATTCTGTGATCATGAAGCACCATTCCTTGCTAAGCTGACATAATACGCAGCAAGTAAGATTTGAGACTAAAAGTTCCTGCATTTTCATGTACATTCCCTGCCAATTTTTATTTTCCCTTTTCTTTCTTGAGCTACAGAACAGAATGAACATGAAGACCTTCTGACCAAGATCTTTCTTCTTGGAAAATAAACTGTGATTCAGCAGCAGTATAAGTTACAGGTAGGCACTTAAAAAATAAAATAAAATAAATGCATCAGCTACAGTTATCAAATCAAATTTGAATAAATTGTCTTTATTATAACAAAAGAAGGTTATGGATTTTGCCTGAGGTGTTTTCATTTATAAAAGTATAGTAGTCAAACAGTCAAATAGAATGGAAGTGCTAGTCCTGACTCTTGTTGGTAACTCTCCATGCCTGAAGTGTTTTCTTCCTCAGCAAATATTCAGTAGGTACAGTGAACATTCTTTCTTGTGTTTAATAAGAAAAACATCTTATTAGTAGTAAATGATCTTCTGATATAAAGAAGTGACGTACAAATCGGAACCGATATAAATATTGACATTTTAAAGTTGCAGTTAGTCTCTGCCAACAAAAGATGGCACTGCTCAGTTTTCTTCAAAACTGTAACGTCCATTCATTGAAATTAAATACTTTTAAAACAGTTCTCTTGTCTTTGTCAAGAATGTGCACATTGAGATCAGTATTTGTTATTACTGATAAGCTAACAAGTTGGCCTTAGATCTTTAAAAATATAAGTATGTTTCCACAAGTCCCAACTGGAAATAACTAAGTGCCAATAATTCACAAAATACTCTTGCAATTTAAATGGTATTAACAACCTCTTGGAGTCCAATTTAGACTTAATCATTATTTTATGGAAGCAGTTTTGCAACAAATGGGAAACGAAAGGAAAATAGTTTCCAAGATTCTCTCAGACCAGTCTTTTTGTATGCAATATATATTAGCCATTTAAATATTAATTCAAATGCCTGTTGATCAAGCTATGCCTTTTCCTTGAAATTTTCTACCTATAATATAGCTGTACCCAAAAGCAGAGATTTTACATACATCTGAACTTTTTCTATTGTCTTGTAACAAAATTAATTAGCTTTATATTATAGGGCTTTGCTAAAATTAGATAACGAGTAATAATCCCATGAATAACATAAATTAAAAATTGAGAACAATAAGAAATAAATATAATTTATTTAGTGGAAAATAAATTTGCAATAGGTCTGTGATCAAGATTAAAAGGAAAACAAATGCCAAACCCCAAACAGTAATAATCACAGTAATAATACATAAAAGTCAGAAATCAATTTAGGTAATAGTAAGGAAAAAAATCACATACCTTAGCAAGATGTACAAATACACAGTATAATCTATTTTTGGGCATCATCTTATTCTACTATGATCTGAATAATCTAATATATATATAATATATATAGTATAATAATATATATAATAATATGTTTATACTGAATTACATTGTCAAGAACTGAAATTTCCCAGGGTATCCAAAATGCTTTTTTAAATGGAACCAAAAAGGTTCAGATGGGTTTGGCTAAAGATCATAATTTACTTTGATTCTTTGATTTGGGGGAATTTGTTTCCTCTCTTTTTTCTTTTTTCTTTTTTTTTTTTTTATTTTTGTCAATCGGTGGGGGATATTTCTGTATGTCAGAAGCTGCATTTCAGATATTACATTTTCAGCTTTTTTTTCTGGGTTTGTTTTTCTAAAAATAGCCATGTGCTGTGAGAACACCGTTCTTGCTCCTTTTTAATCCTTTCCATATCTCCCTCCAAAACAAAGATAAAAAATACAACAAAATAATAACTGCTAGGCGAACAATTCTGTATTTTCTAAGCTTCTTCGACATAAGAGGAAAGGTTTTGTGGATTTCTTTCCTACCATGACAAACTATTCAGAGCATGGTGAAACCTCAGGAAATCCTCCCCAATTCTGATGGCTGCCATCTTCAATGTGATTGTCAGCATTATCGGGATAGCCAGAGTAAAAAATAAAAAGAAAGAAAAAAAAAAGTCATTCAACCAAAAGCAAATTCAACCAAAAACTGTAATTCAAATAAGATCATATAAGTTTATGACAATGACGTTATAACAATTTAAACAATGAAATAATGCAATTTTTCAAAATGGCAATACTGACCTTTTTATTGGAAGAGGAGTCCTAGTTCTTATATGTAGCTCACTAGGTCAGTCTCACCAGTAAATAGGACAATGATGCATTGAAAAACACTCATGATTATCCTCACATGGTGGAAAAAAAACTTCAGTTTTATAGGTCTCTGCACATTCGCACAGCAAGAAATCACCTCGCCTCATTAAAAATACATTACCACTTTGTTTGTCTGTTCAGAAAGAGGGTTTTTAATGAGATTCATCTTGAATTACTGTTTTGAGAGAAGCAGCATATTAGATAGTACACATGTATTTCAGTCATATGTTCAATGCAGTAAATCTAGCACAAAAGGCTTGTCCAATTGAATCCCAAACCCACATAATATATTAAAAATTAAGCTTTAAAATTCACTATCCTGTAGCTTGTATTCCTTGTTGTGTGTTTTGACCTTGTAAGTTGGGCATTCCTTAATATTTATAAACTCATTTGAATTTTCCAGTTTTACCCTTTCCCCACCACCACCTCCCTTTATCTTAGGCTCCATGGTGAATTAGCACAGCAACTTTGCCCAATAGACTTCCTCTCTTGCTGCCTTAGAGCTATTTGCCCTTACCATATTCTGTCTGCATCACTGCAGGGCCATCTCTTTCTGTACATTTCCATCACGGCTGCATTCATTAACGGAAATTAAAAGAAGGTGGATATTGAAGTGATGCTGCAGGAAACAGTCTTCCCAAAGAGCTGAACTTTCTGCTCCCTTGTTGCTCATGGCAAACTCTGCTGACTCCTGTCACAACCCTGACTGGCAGCTTTTTCCCAGAGGTAATGAAACAGGCTCCACTCAGGAAATTCCTGTAATTGCATTATTTTTCAGGTGCTGAAAACATTCATTTGTTGCCAAAGTTCTTGTGAAAGAAAAGACTAATATAGAATAATAGAGCATAGGAGAGAGGTAGTGAATTTTATGCTTAAAGTTAGTGCTAAAGTATAACAAAAAAATTGTTAATTAATTTGTTCAGACAATGAATGGTAGTTGACTGCATTGCAACGTTCCCCACAATGACTTAAAATTCTATTTGATTCTTTAATAGAGGGACATGATTTTCATGATGTACATGTATTACTGTTTCATGATGCTGCAGCACCAGGTCATGGTTTGCAGACAGATGTCTTCTCAAACACTGACATTCTTTCACACTTCGTATCACAACAGAGAGTGATATTTCAAAAGAGTTAAAACCACTCAATTTCCTACAGGTGATCTTTTTCCAGATAACTAATTTAGACATGCTGAAAATGTAAACCTACTGTTAAATTTTCATTCACAAGGAGGACATTTTTAACACAATGTGGGGATAATTAAGGTGATTGAGGTAAAGGATGTTCTATTTTTATACTTTCTTTAAAATTACCATATATTAGATTTATGAAAATCTTTTAGACCAATTTAATTTCAGAATATCTAATTATTAACTAAGCTACCTCACTATATGTCTAAAAATAACATAATTATGCATTCCTTAAGATCGCCAAAATCCATATGCTAAAAGGCTAAGCACAATAAAACGTAATAGGAAACAGATTTCAGAGTATAGTAGGTTGTACTGCGTATAGGCTGTTGTATGGCCAAATTCCTACAAATAAAGGCTATGAGCTATGATCTTGAAATTCAGTTGTATGTTATTGTATTGTTTTCCAAGTCCAATGTAAATAATTAAGAATCTTAAATAATAGAGAGTTAGAAACTCTGTTTTTGGCAGCTTGAAGACCTCTGCTGCTTGATGTAAGATGACTATTAATAAAGAATAACTTACTTGAAACGTGAGTTATGCTGACATAGTATCAAACGTGGGCTGAATAGGTAAAAAGTAATTATTCTCAAGAAACACCAAGTAGTACTGTGATATTCCAATAATCCTCTTCTCTACAAGAATGACGCATCAATCATCAGAGAAAACTCATTTTAGCTCTTCTCCCCTCTACTGCTGCTTCTTAAATTCAGGAGCTGTGCCTCTTTGTAATTGGCTTAGCGAGCAGCTCCTGCTCTTCTGCCCACCTTATGTTTTGGCTTGAATATAGTAGCTTTGCACTTAGAGCAAAATTAAGTAAAACACTTACCAGTCTGTGGAATAATGAGAATTTAGATGCTCAAGTCTAAAACCACCGTTTCTTTATTTGCTGACATCAGCTCCTGGAAGTGTGGTTCACAGCAAATCTGAAAGGAAATAAACATACACTGCTGTTTGTTCCTAACTTTGTAAAGGTGTTTTCCATTACAGACTCACTGGAGGAAATATGAAATCAAGGATAAAAACCGAAGATTCCCATAGTCAGGAGAATGTCCTGATCACTAGCTAGTATAAAATTGTTAAACAAACGGGTAGACTCCACTCCCAGTCTCTGACATATGAAACTTGTACACACTTACCTTCAAATTTAACTACACCTAAACATGTAAGTTGTAGACCATGTGAAAAACTGAAGTCTAATAAGAAACTGACATAAAAAAAAGAGATTTTTAAGTTTAAGAAAAAAAATGGTTCCTTCCAAAATTAAACATTCTGACAATGTGCTGCAAGGAAATTTGATGATTCTAAATTTCTTCTAGAAATAGTTTTTTAAAAAAATTAGAAAACTTCTGAGGCAAAACATATTTTTTGTCTCTTCAATTTGCCTAATAAAACCCAAAGTTTTCCCTTGGTTACTAAAAATGGCTACCAACAGTATAAAATTTCAAACATATTGTATGTAAACTTTGTTTCACTAGAAATTTCCTGAGCAGTCCAAACCATTCATAAATAAACAAGAAAATAATATGTTTTCAAATATAGATTAATGGAGCTAAGAGCTTTTCAGTAATACATTTTTACTTTTTCAGCATTTCTTCAAACTTTTTTGTAATACTCTTGTAAATATATCAGATATCTTACTTTTATTAATATTATAATGCTATTTATAATTAGCATGATATGTAAATATAAATAAATATAATTTATTAAGTAAATATAGTCTTGTTCTGTTTGTTTTATAAATGGCAACTAATGTAATGTAGAATAGAAGTATAATATTTAGCTTACAGAGCTTACAGTATGCAAAAAAAAAATCTTTTAATAGATGCTGTTCACTTGCAACAAGTGCAATTAGGAATCAATCTCCTCTCCATTAAATGCAGCTTCCATGCAATACATCTGTAACATTTTTGTTGCAAAATAAAGCAGCTTTAAGAGTTCAGGATTCTCAACAAATTACTTGATTCTGATTTCCATGAGATCAGAGAGAGCTATGACTAATTCTTCTTTCCTTATGATTTACATCATTGTATAAAAAGAACCCACAGTATTTCCTAAACTTATACTTTTAAATGTTTTCTAATCTGTTTTCCTTTAGTTTTATGTTATAAAGAGACTCCTTATGTTAAAAGAGACTCTTATATCCCTAAATTTAAAGTCTTAATGTCAAACATCTGAGCAGAAGACCTTAAAAAGGAAAATGAAATAACCAGTTGCTACTTTTGGGGTTTCACAAAATTATTACTGTAACTTTGAGAGTATTTGATGGACTATGTCTTTCAAGCTTTATCAATGTTAAAGGATCCACTGTAAAACAAAAGAGCTATCGGATGCTGTAGTAGTTGTTTCCTCTACTTTGACAATGCAATTTCCCCCTGACAATCTGGCAGTGACTGATAAACCTTGGCTTCTTCCTACCAACAAAATAACAGTTTTTATTATTCTAGAATAGTCTCAAAATGAACGACATGCTATATGTATTGTCTTCTATCCAACCCGTCTTTTTGGAGCCTAATTATTGTAAATAAATGTATGGTCTCCCTTATCTAAATAAATTGCGTCTATAACACAGTCATTTTTATATGATTTAAACTCTATATGTTTATATAGGCATTATTTTATTAATGTTATGCCAACAAATTTTAGTTAATAAAATTTTCCATAATTTGTGTGAAAGTACCCACATTTCTACCACCTCAGATCTGGTCTATCTTTTTCCAGAACTAGTCAATCCAGTTGCCTATTTCAAATTTTAGAGCTGCCTACCTTCCGATTGTCTCTTTGGATGTTCTTTTTTGTTGGTAGTTTTGCTCATCTACTGATGTGATAATTTGGTTTAGTAGGTGCCAATGTATGATCAGTGGTTCTTTATCATGGAGATTCAAAGAAAAGAAAACAAACAAACAAACAACAAACCAACACAGAATAAGATCCAAAGCCAAATGCATCTAAAATGTGACCAGACTAGAAAACCATAATGTGCTTTCTCACTTCAGATTCTCCAATACAGATATAAATGTTATAAATGAGAAGTAGGGATTTTGGCCATGTAACATCTTACAGATCTTAACATGTAAGAAATAAAGATCCTCTCTTATCTCCATGATAATTTTATTTGGGTTCCTTGATCCTCTGGCTGTAATGACTTATAAACATCCCTTTTCTCCCCCATACACTTCCCCCATCTTATGGAATACATTATAAAGTTTTTTTTGTTTTTTTTTTTAACATCGCCTTTTCATTTAACAGAGGTCTGTTTCAAATTTTAGCAGTTGGAATTATAAATTACTACAAAAACTTCAGCAGATGTGAATTTCCTCCTCATGGTGAGAAGGCAAACCTAGTCCAGACATGGAAAAACAAAACTCCAAGTGTGGCAGTGACCATTCTTTTCTGACTGGTCTCTCTGACATTTATAAGGGATGTTTTTGATAAATATATATATGTATATTATTTTCTTTTAACCTCATTTGAAGTACATGTTTTGGAAGAAGTACAGACTATTTTTTTCCCATTCATTTTAAAGGGTTTCTTTGTATAAGGATGGATGATTAATAAAATAAAAAGCATATAACATGTTTTTTAAGTTCTGTGGAATACCTTTGAACAGTTCAGTTAAGTAAATCTCATACTTTAATATCTCTTATTCTTTCCTTTCCTGCTGAATTAGATAGAATTATGCAATATATACATATTTTCTGTTTCCAGGTTATTTTGTATGTTACTCTGTAATATTTCAGAAGTTTAGAAATACTTCATTAAAAAAGGATATATAGTCAAAAAGTTATATATCTAAGAGATCTAACTAATTAGTCCCGTTAAATCCTGTGCAAGGATATTCAATCTGAATCTAGGTAAACTATATGAATCTATGTAAATCTATGCCAATTTCATATCTGTCATCTAACAGAAATGTTGGTGAAGTAAATATGTATAAAATTAATTTTCATACCATGATTTTATGAGATAAAGTTAATTACCTTTGGATAGGCTTCAAAAATAATAATAAAAAAAAAAATCCTCCATGAGTTCCTGAAGAGTTTTTCGGGACTATCCAACTGAATGGTGGATCAGTGCTAATGTCAAGTCATCAATGGGGAGCATCTTCCATAGGAATAGTTTCTATCCTAAAGAAAGAATACCACAATTAGTACTAACCCAGATACCATGTTAATTAACACTAAACAAGTGTTTCCAATTCTGATGTTTATTTAATTGTATGATGAAAAGAATGGCTATATTTATTATACTTAGTAAAATTAAAATATTTGTCATGAAGTTTGAGCACGTCTGTTCCCATATGATAGCTCTTGTGGCCAGCACTGGTAAAATGGTACGGAAAATCTGAACCTAAGAGGAAATTTAGGTAATTACTATTTTTTTTTTTTCTGTGACAACAAAATGAGACAAGACTTAGAAAATATAAAAAATCCATGTGTTTAAGAACAAATAATTAAATTCCTTGTTCAGTAACATAAATGTTTCATCTAGTACAACTGAAATAAACTTTTTTAAGAAAATCACACTTATTATTTGCAGTTGAGTTTTTATCTTATTATCATGTCCTTAGGGAAGTCCTGTGAGTGCTCTGGGAATTAAAAGAACAACAGTAAAATGGTTAAGTCTGATCTGGATCCAAATTCAGCTTGTATCTTTTCCACAGACTTTCGACGTCCAACAAACCTCAGACAAAACCTTCTATCTGGTTCAGAACTCTTCATCTAAAATTTCAAAAAATGTTATTTTAACAAAGCTGTTTTTGTTCTGTTCTTTGAAGTGTCATACTGATCAGGGCCCCCACTGGAAATGTTTTGTACTGGAATTATGACAGATTTCTTTTCCAGTGATTAGTCTGTAATTGCAAGATACGTTTTCATTTATCACAGGCTAAATAACATGAAATAAAAGGTTTAGGATTTGTTTGCTTCCCTTGTCATATCCTCCACTTCAAGATAAATATGCAAGAAATACCAGTTTGCAAATACTAAATTACTTGGTTTGATCATTTTACTTTCTAGCATTTTTCTAGTTCTCTCCCTTCTACTTTTCCCATTATTCATCTGCATGCACATCAAAATGATGAAACGAGTCCACAATATACAGGTTTTCTTTCTGCCTTTAAACATTATGCTTGCCCACATCTGCAATGATCAGCCAATATAATTAAAATTTTTTGATGGGTGAAATTCTTTTTCATGAAAAAATTACAAATATCAGTAAAAGGAATATTGCTTGTTTCAATGTATTATCAATTCAGACTGAAATCTATGACTGCATTAAAAGAATTATATTTTTATAATTCATAATTGTTTTCAAATCAAGTTTAAATTTTCAAATTCCGATTTCACTTTCCTCTTCAACATGTTAAATGATTAAATAGTTACTGTAATAGACAAGATTGCTATACCATTTTGCCTCATGAAACAACATAGAAATGACCTTTTTGAAGCTATGCATCAGTTTCTTATCTCTATAGCATGAGGTTTGAGTTTCTTTGGTGTCTATACTTCTTCAGCGCATGGTGAAAAGTTCAGGGTCTATGGAAGAGTTAGGTACCAAAGCAAGCACAAAACCCTAAAGACCAGCACGTTTCAGACAAAAACTGGACCCAAACCAGTTTCAACTGTATAAAAAAATCTGCATACAGAGACTAAATTGTTGAAGTTTTGGCCTATGACCATTTAATGAATATGGCTGATAACACCAGTGGAGGAACGTAGGTGACAGTGGTGAGCAGACATTTTTCTTTTTAGCAGAGAATTCCAGGAGATAAAAGCATGTAGAACTAGGTGAAAATGAAAACTAGCTTACCCAGAACTTTCCTTATTGTCTTGTTCCATGGAGGGAATTAATGATATGTAATGATCATTGTTTGAATCATAGTGAGATATTTCTAGGCATGCTGCCAGGAAAAGGTGGTATGTATAATTAAATAAAATGTCCCATGAACAGCTGAAATAATTCTCTTTATATACCCGATTCCATGGAGATACAGAGAAAAAGCAGAGACTTAATACAACAAAACCTCACAATCAACTACACATTGCTGTTAAAAAGGTAGATTGAGAGCTCACAATATCAATTGCATCTTTGGAATAAAATGAATATAAGTCCAGAAGAGAGGTTCCTTCATCTCAAATATGCAAATTTTCTCTGTATTATTAAAAACAATATGATTACTCATAAAAAAGAGGTGGAAAAAAGAGACAGGAAGAATGATACAGGTGAAGTGGAAAGATCTTTTCCTGCCTTCTATCATTCAAGTTAAATTTCTGCCCACTACAGACTTGATTTGAGGATACTTTGACTAGTTTCAAAAAGGTGTTTGAACTAAAGGTAACCAGTAAAGAAGAAAAAGTGTTCTCAATTAATTTTATTTTTAAAATTTTGTTGCAACACTAAGGAGTGACTGTAGATATCATATTTTGTACATCTAAACATACTTGAAAACTAAAAACGTAGCTGCAACTACACTCTCACAAGTCCTTTTCTGATGAGCTGGTTTCAAACTATTTATTCCTTCACGGCAACCGTGGATGCCCAGTATCTTGACAGTGAGAATATTATAAAGAACAATAATTAGGATTAGAGTTGTACTGTGGTTCAACCACACAACGCAATTTTTGTATTCTCTTAAGTGAGGTGTGCACATGTATTGGTGATTTTAGTATCTTGCTGTGTTCTACTAAATTTGCTAAACCAAAATCCCACAAAACATCAAATATCTACAAACAAATAAATTTGGTATTGAAAATGGTGTTTTATGCTTCAACTTGCTTAATTCAGCAGAGAACGTTCCTGTTCTCCTTTCTGCTTGGGTGCTACCATTCTGATCTCTGCTTAACTGGAATTAGCCTACAAGTTGTGTGCGGAAGACAGGTAGATCATTTTAAGTGCCACATGAATCACAGTCCTTCATTTGACCACAACATTTTTAGGCATACTATTAAAAAATGTCATATTTGGAAACCTTTCATCTGACATTTATCTGAACAACCATAATGTAACTGTATATAAATGTCAAAGGAGAATAAAGCAGTATTCTTAGTATAAATACCAAATGAATGGTTGTTTCCTCTGATATTTAGGGTTCTGGAAGGGTAGAGGTCAAGTGAGGTGCCTCTCCCCACAAAGGTTAACAGTGGTGATGAACCAGGATATTGCAGAATTCTAAGGAAATAGCTAGCTCTCACCCATACTGTGGGGTTTGTTGCAGGTCAAGTTAGTGATTTGAGCAGGATCCTTCTAAGACAGACAGCTAACCCTTAGATAACAAAACACTTAATTCCTACCTGCTTCCTCAAAGGCTGCCTGTCCATGACAGTTGTTTTTGTATTTTTGTTTGTCTTTTTCCTGTGAAGAATTTTTCCCTTTCTAGCTCTTAAATATATACAAGAAAAGCTTGCTTGCTGATCTCTTCCTCCTCCAAATTTTACTCAAATACCTGTCACAAGAGATATTGTGATTTTGTGCAGTAAGCATGTGCAATCCTGTTCTTCAGGGGTTCAGTAATTATTGGAAGAATTTTTTGTGATTTTTTTCCTTTTTTTTTTTTTTTTTTTTTCCATTTGAGGGTAAAAGCTACTTATCTGGAAGAGGAAGAATAAAGGAATAAAGCTCAATCATTGTTTGCAAATCATATTCATTTCCACTTAGATCCTAAGAACCTGTAAGTATTTAGGTGCCCTATTCCTACTAACATAATTCTTCACTGAGGTTGTGGCAGTCACTCTTTCCTGAGCCTACTGATACTAAATTATTTTAACAGTATTTACCCATTAAAAACAGTAAGACACAATTTTCTAGTATTACTAGAGTCAGCACATTACAATGTCACCATTTGACAAGTCCCACATTCAAGCACAAAAGAGATTCCTGAAACCACTATTTTGGTGCCCTCACGATGTAATTATGTAGCACCAAGCCTTCTCCATCAGAATCTCAGTTTTGTCAGGAGATGCCTGTGGACTTCATGCTGCCAAACTTCCCTCTGGTCTGTCTCAGGCCTACGTTCACAAGGGATCCTGACCTACCTATTTCTAGAGCCTGTCTTTTGCACTGGGTGTCTCACAACACATCCACACATCAGTACCATTCTGGGTGACTGACTAAGAGTGGTGTGAATGTACATTCAATTTATCTTGCAGCCCTGTTGTTGAAATACTATCTGCTCTCCTTATTTCTCAGAATTTGGAGAAGGGAGATGAACCCAGGTATTCTACTTTCCTGGTGAGCACTGAACTACCAGTTTTATTATAGTATGTCACATTCTCACACTGAAATAGAACTGCAGAACACGGTTAAAACTGAATTATATTTGACAAGGAACAAAAGAGATATAAATGAAAACATCCAGATTTTGTATGCCCCTCATACAGAGAACTGTAACATCTGCATTTTGTGAAACCCATCTACTTTTTCTCTGGTATCAGTAGAATAGAACTACTGCACCAATAAATTTTGGTAAGCCACCTGATAAATTTAACAGTGATTCTGTTATCACTAATCTAAAATTGTTACGTTAATAATTGTAAACATTTCCAAAATAATCCAAAATTTGTTCTTTGATGTCCAAAAGGTTCAAAAGTCAGCTTGTCCATGAATAACACCATAACTGCGTAAGATCTCTCAGCTTGGGATCCAAAATATTACGAGTCATGAAACCAATCAAATTCTTCCACTAAAGCAGAAAAGAGCTCTTAATTTTTTAACCTTTTTTAAGCATCCACAACATAAACACTTCCTATCCATAACTACAATGCAAAGTAGAAAACAAAACAAAAGGATCACAGTCTAGAAATGCATACAATATTCCCTTATAAGATCTTAAAATACATTGGTGAGATACCTAACACTATTATACGCCATTCACAATTTCAAATGCTAATGTTCTTATACACTATAAGTGGAGACTAAAATTTAAACATAATAAGAAATGCCATTTCACATCATCTGCTACATAATAAAGCTGGAATGATGTCATTGTGGGCTAAGAGCAGAAATTAGGAAAAAAACTGCTATATCATCTCATTCCTGGTAAAAACAAAAAACAAAACATCACTATAACTCATTCCTCAGGTATCTGGATGGTAAATCCAGATGTTATTTTAACAAACAGATGTTATTT